CAGGACCTCGTCAGCGGCCCGTGCTTCTGGCCTCGGATAGCGGGAGAGAAGGTGAGTCCCCCTCCCAAAATCCTAACCTCTTCTATGATGTGTTCCAACAGGTGACGGGAGGGGGCTCATTTGGAAAGGAACAACGCGAGGACGACAGGCTGAAGCATTGCTGGACCCAGGTCCGGGTCATAGAAGGCAAGGAATCTCAGCCTGGCCCCCATCCTCTCCCGCATTTTGTCGTCCAAAACGGCCTGCTCTATTGTGTCGCTCAGCGAAGGGGGGAGGAAAAATTATTGTTGGTGGTGCCACGCACGAAGACGGAGACCGTATTGTAGCTGGCCCACTCACATCCCTTGGCAGGGCATCTCGGGGCCGCGAACACCATCCAGCGGATCCGCGACCGCTTCCACTGGCCGGGCTTGGAGGCCGACGTGAAGCGGTTCTGCCAAGCCTGCCCGACCTGCCAAGTGACGTCACCCAGGAGGGCCGCCGAAGAAGGAGGCCCACGGCAGGACCTCGTCAGCGGCCCGTGCTTCTGGCCTCGGATAGCGGGAGAGAAGGTGAGTCCCCCTCCCAAAATCCTAATCTCTTCTATGATGTGTTCCAACAGGTGATGGGAGGGGGCTCATTTGGGAAGGAACAGCGGGAGGACGACAGGCTGAAGCATGGATGGACCCAGGTCCGGGTCATCGAAGGCAAGGAGGTTCAGCCTGGTCCCCACCCTCTCCCGCATTTCGTCGTGCAAAATGGCCTGCTCTACTGTGTCGCGCAGCGAAGGGGGGAGGAAAAATTATTGCTGGTGGTGCCACGCACGAGGACGGAGACCGTGTTGGAGCTGGCCCACTCGCATCCCTTGGCAGGGCATCTCGGAGCCGGGAACACCATCCAACGGATCCCCGACCGCTTCCACTGGCCGGGCTTGGAGGCCGAAGTGAAGCGGTTCTGCCAAGCCTGCCTGACCTGCCAAGTGACGTCACCCAGGACGCCTCCCCCCAGTCCGCTGATACTGCTGCCCATCATCGAGGTGCCCTTTGAGCGCATCGGGATGGACCTTGTGGGGCCGTTGCCTAAGTCTGCCCGGGGACATGAACACATCCTGGTGATCGTCGATTATGCCACCCGGTACCCAGAGGCAGTACCCAGGAACTCTTCCTGCTCTCCAGCTGAGTCGGCATCCCAGCAGAGATCCTGACCGATCAGGAGACCCCCTTTATGTCCCGGCTAATGGCTGACCTCTGCCGGCTGCTGCGGGTGAAGCAGTTGAGGACCACGGTCTACCATCCCCAGACCGACGGACTGGTCGAACGCTTCAATCAAACGCTCAAGCAGATGTGGAGACGGGTGGTCGCGGAGGATAAACGCGACTGGGACCTGATGCTCCCCTATGTCCTTTTCGGGATCCGCACTTTTTTTTTTTTTTACTTTAGATTTGCCACCAATTCGCCAAAACATTAAAAAAAAGTTATGTTTTCTCACGAGATCAGGTTTTGACAGTGCTGGGCAGTTTAGTAACTGCTGAGGGAGTGAATTGAGACACAGTTTGATTAAGCTGTTTCAGAGGCTCCAAACCTTTAAAGACCTCATAAGCACTAACTCACCCTCTCATTTCTCCCACAGACAGCAGCGTGTGACCGACCAGCCCCACAGGAGCACAGCACGGACCCACTGCACTGGGAAGAAGGAAGAGAGCACTCACGGCACCGGAGCACCCACCTGGACCTTTCTCTTTAGCACACCCTCTTGTAAATAAATCCACCCTCCGGGGCATTTTTTGAGCCATCCTTGTCGTGTGATTCTTCACCCCGTGACATAATGTAATGTAATATAGAATTTCATTAATCTCTTTGCATTCAGACTTACAACTATATATTCTGTTTTACTTCTATATATTCACAATTTACATTTTTGTATATTCAGACTTTATATAATTATTTCCTGTTTGGTGCTTCATAATGTGTGTGTGCGTGTGTGTGCAAATCTATTTTTCCCTCTTAAAACTAATCATCACT